GCTGTGCTTGGGGTGCTGCTAGGTGGCCGGCTTTATGTGGTGGCGCGGCTTTCCTTTCATCATCATCATCCAGGCTGAATTTTTCTGTTTCCATTTTCTGTTTTGCTTTCTGTTTACTTTCTCCTGTGGGCTTTTTTTGTACTTGCCAAAGTGTGAGCAGAAAGTGGCGCTTCCATAGGGAAAGGGGAGCTGGTTCTTTCCCAGGGCTGCTGTCATGATGTGGGGGGAGCCCAGCTCCTGTGCTGTTTTGGTTCAGTGGGGGCATATGAAAGTGTGGCAGCAGGAGCTTTTGGGGGAGCTGTGCTGGGGCAGAAGCTTTTGGGGCAGCTGTGCTGGGGATGCATTTCTGAGTTTCCTTTTCATCTATTTTGTGACTTGTTTTCCTTTGGGTTTTATTTTCAAGCTTCTCTGCCTACCAATATCTATTTTTCTTATTTCATGCTCTGATATTATTTGTATAAATGAGTTAGTGCATGTTTTCCTTTATTTCTTACTGATGAATACTTCTAGTTTGACAGTCGTCTTTTCCTTTCTATATAGCATCTGCAGCTTTGCAGGTGGAAGAGCTTTTACTCTCTCTGCAAATATCTTGCAGTGTTTTTGGGGTTGTCTGTCACCCCACCAACAACCCCTGAAGTTATTTGTCCTCAATGTGTTGATATTTATAAATAAATGTATAAATATCACAAAGGATTTTTTGTCATCTATTCATGCAATGATTGTTATTTCTAGATTTTAGAGTTTCTATTGTGTTTTCAATTTGTTGTAGATATTGGGCAACGTTAGATGTTGTAGAAACTAGGCAACATTAGGTGTTTGGGAGGCAGCAGCTGGTGGGAATATTTGCCTTTGATGTGCCGGTCCGCTTGCATCTAGAAAGTGAAAGCGGGCAGAGCCCCAAGTGCGTGTCGTCACTGCTTCCTGGGAAGCTTTGAGCAGCGAGAGGTTGCAGTGGCTGCTGATACAGAGAGAATGGGGGTTTCTCCTGGGGGGTGTGTCTGTATGTGTTCTTTAATTTAACTCAACTTCTTAATGTGTATGTTAATGCTGTAAATTCTCACTTTTTTCTTTTTCTTTTTTTTTTCTTTTTTTGATTTTTGTGTGTATTACGTTGGCATAAGCTATCTTTTCTGTTAGTTTGTTGCAGGCTGCCTGTGTAGCAGAGATCTTACAAATGCTGGTGTGCATGGTACCTAGCAAGCTGCTTGATGGAACTTAAATCTGTTACGTCAGATCACCTATCATTTTTCAGTCCCTTTCTGTCTCACTTTTTGAGTGTATTGCTGATATTTCAGTTTTGACTTCAGGTACCTTCTCCTGCATGCTTTCTGTAGGTTAGGAAATACCCAGGGTGTTTGAAGAGCAGAGTATGTCTTCTGATGTTTTCCTGTGAGTGGGCTTGAAGTGCAAAAATAACTGACTTGCACTCATATTTTCTAATGATTTTTTGTTTTGAATATATATGTGCACAGATGTGTGGGATATGCAGTGTTGATGTAGTTTTCCTCCACCTGAGGGGCAGTGGAAATAATTGCAATCCTTAGACCCTGTTCTCACGTGGATTTGGTTACGTTATGGCCAGTTTATATAGGGGAAAATGCTAGTGTCAGTTCCAGTTCATGTCCACTGAATGCTGTTCAGATCTCTTCTCCAAATCTGCTTTTTGAGGCATTTTCTTTGGAAGGAGATAGGAGCACTGCTTTTGAATATACTGCTGGGACTCTAAATGCGAATTTAGCTGTGTTTTGTTAAGTGATTCATGCCAGAGTTAAGGTGGAATTTCCTGGGAAGGAAAGGAAAGGATGATGAAATATGGTACCTTTTCAAGTTACAGAAAGCACCTGCAATACTAAATCTTTGTTGGATTATTTCATGTTCAGTGATGGAGGATTGGGTGTAGGAAACAGGGATGATGCACAGAAATGCAACAAGATGGAAGGTGCTGTCAGAAAGCATTTGAGGTGCTGGGGAATTTGCAGAGAGGGATATGAGGAAGGAGAATGTTTTTCCAGTGTTGGAGAATGTGTGGAAATGGATGCGTTAGCGGTTAAAGCATTAACTCTTGATGGATCAGAGGTGGTGATGAGTAAACCACGACAATTAAAAGGAAAAATGTTTAGAAGAGTACCAGCCCCACATGTGGAGCTCACCCAGAGAAGGAAAGGCAAACTTTTCTCTTATTCTCCCAAACTGAAGACAAAATGATGCTTTGGTTTTCCTGGCTTGTCCAGTCATCTCAGAGTGGGAGCTTTCTAGGGTGACGACTGCCTTACCTTCCTATTGAGGACCTAGTAGAATGACCTATGGCAGTGGTCTCCACCTTATTTGATCACACACCCCAACAGTAAAAAAATGTGTGAGCACTCATCCCCAATATATTTTTATTTCTAAATTATATACGTATACCACTGTACTAATGTGTATGTTGTAAAAGATACACAAAAATAAAAATTTAAAAAGGATGAGATAAGGGTTAAACAAACACTTTTTTATTATTAATAATAGCAAAAACATTTTCTTCATGCACCCCATTGGATTGTTTTGCGCACTCCACTTTGGAGACTACTGATCTGAGGTCTCCTGTAACATAGTTTAAATAAATTTTCCAATTATCAGGTATTAACTCTTTTTCTCCTCTTTTTTTTTTTTTAAATGTTTGTGCTGTTTTCCTAACTGACGTTTCTGCTTTTAGAAAATGGGGCATAGTACTAGGATAAAACCTTTAGACTACATCCACTTTGTGATTATGGTCCTAGCCTGACCCCAACTCTTTGGCCCCCAGTGGTCTGTTGCTTTCCCAGGCGCTGTCTCACTGGAAGATGACAGCTCAGACCTGAGGGTTGGGAGGGGAAAGTATTTAGTTGTTGCCTTTAACTTACCATTAGCAGATGAAGTATTAGTATATAATATTAAAAATCTCTATAGAGTAGTTTTATTTTGCAGTTGAGGATTCAAGTAAATCTTCATCTCTGATGTAAACAATAAGGTCTGCCTAGACTTCCTTTAGTGTTCTTCCTTTTTAAATTTTCTTATGCTTATAATATGAGGTTCATAAGAGCTATCCAGCTCTGTTACAGTTTCAACTATTAATAAATGATGTTGTCTCTTTCCAAGGATTACTATGGAATTACATTCCCTGCTCCTGCAACCTTGACTGGCAGAGATGGGAGCCTTGCTAACAACCCGTACTCAGGTGAGTGCTATTTAAAGACAAGGATGGTGAGATGTGATGGTTTCTAAATGCAGGTTATCCTGCCATTGCTTAAAGAGCAGTCGTTCTCCTCTTCTGTAAGCAGTTAAATCCATTAGTCCAAACCAGTCATACAGAAGAGAGCATCTCCCTCTCAACCCTGACACTGATGTTCTTGGTTTTGGTCAGTAATTTATACATGACTTCTGGGACTAAGTTGGATAGCCTTTGAGAATAAATGCAAAGTTGTTATGAATGTAAATGGTAGTGTCATCTAGTGCCCTCCCTGAGCACATACAGGTGCTTGAAAAATATCCCATAGCTTAATCATTCTTCTTGAAATTCAACTGGCTTTCTTTCCTTTTTTGGTACTGGAATAGAACCCCCTCCCATAGCAGCTCCCCATACTTCGTTACTGCTATTTTAGCAGGTGTGTGTTCCCAGCAGGAGCTGCATGTAGCAGGCTCTCCCACACCCTCCCCAGGTCAAATGGACTCCGTTCCCAAAAGCACATGATCTAAGCCCTTCCTCACTCCTGTGCTTGCTCTTGAGTTGTCAGCGTGCAAAGATGACATTAATTCCATCCAGGGTTTTCATCCACCACTGTCTGATAACAGCTTAAAACTGTAGCCATAGGTGTTATAATTCCTGTAATGATGATATTAAATGTTGTCATACTTCTTGGTAGCCAACAAAAAGGAATACTGGTTAGGAATGAGATAGATGTGACTGATGTATGTTACCTCCCTAAAAACGACATGAACATGCTGCTTTGTAGGCTGCCAGAAAATGCAACTGTTAGGGAGTTTTCTGCTTCATAATCACTTCTCTGGGGAGGCTGCTTTTGGGTTAATAACCAAATTTCCCTTCCTACTTCTTCAATAAGGTGGCCCACGATGCAAGCCTTGCTTTCCTGGCCTTCAGCTACTGTCTCCAGAACTTTGGTGGTGTGAGGAACCAGACATCTAACTAGTCATGCTTGAGAAATAAACAGATATTGACAAAAATATGCCCATCACTGCCTGTAAATCCTAACTTGCTTTCAGCCCATGAGGCTTAGCTAATCAGTTTAACTTCCAGGAGAGTCACACTTTAACCCAACAACCATTTGCTCTTTGGCTATTTACCATACTTCTGCTTTCAGCATGTTATATTGCAGTGATGAATCTGCTCAGACCATGTGAGTTAGGTAAGTATTGGTATCTCCATTTTATCAATGGATTAGCCATGGCATGGGGTTCCATGCCATGAACAGGCAATGTCCCTGTGGCTGTCAGGAATAGAGGCCAGGAGAGTGCTTCCCATGAACAACTGCAGGCTTTCAAGTGTAGGATGTGCTCTCTTCTGTAGTTGTCTACTTGTATTCAGAGGATTTGAATCCTTTGAGTCCTCCACTTTTGGAGCAGCTTCAGTAGCTTTTCTGATCAGTTCTTTCTTTCTCAGGTGATGTAACGAAATTTGGCCGTGGGGATTCTGCCTCCCCTGCTCCTGCAACCACGCTCGCCCAGCCACAGCAGAGCCAGACGCAGACTCACCATACAACTCAGCAGCCCTTCCTCAACCCGACCCTGCCCCCGGGGTACAGCTACACTGGGTTACCTTATTATGCTGGTGTGCCCGGCGTACCCAGTGCATTCCAGTATGGGCCAACCATGTTTGTAAGTGTGACAGCCTAAATGGTAACCCTGCTTTCATGCCTCTCTGGTTTTGCTCTCTCCAGCCCAAACTTTCTACATCTTGGAATCATAGAATGGTCTGGATTGGAATGGACCTTCAAAGATCATGTAGTCCAATGCCCCCTACCATGGCCAGGGACATCTTCAGTTAGACCAGGTTGCCCAAAGACCCATCCAACCTGGCCTACACTTCCAGGGATGGAGCATCCACAGCTTCTCTGGGCAACCTGTTCCAGTGCCTCACCACCCTTGTTGTAAAAAATTTATTCCTTATGTCCAATCTAAACCTACCCTCTTTCAGGTTAAAACTGTTGTCCTTTGTCCTATCACTAGAGGCCCTGCTAAAAAGTCTGTCCCCATCTCTCTTGTGAGCCCCCTGTAAGTAGTGAAAGGCCGCCGGAAGGTGTCCCTGGTGCCTTCTCTTGTGCAGGCGGACAAAGGCAAAGTCTGTGAGCCCGTCCTCGTGGGAGAGGTGTTCCACCCCTCTGACCGTGTTTGTGGCCCTGCTTTGGACCTGCTCGAAGAGGTCCATGTCTCCCTGGTACTGAGGGCTGTGGACCTGGATCCGGTACTCAGGTGTGGTCTCATGAGAACAGAGTAGAGTCATTTTCTTAGTCTGCAAGGGATCTCCAAAAACATGCAAGCATAAGAAAATAGCTGCAGTCCCTTCCCAACAAAACAGGAAATTCGAAAGGCCAGAACTTAGACTCTTGCACAGCTTACTGTAAATAGCAGACAGCTGCAGCTCATGGACTCGGTGTTCATGAAAGTCCTTACCTGTCTCTGGAAAGTCAAGGGGACACCCAAAGCTGGGTCAGCGAGCTGACAGTGCCTAGGAAATCCTTTCAAGGATGGAGGAGACCCCATTAATTCAGAGAGCAGTGATGGTAGTCTCAGGAGGAAGGAGGTTTTTTGGGAAGAGGTGATGCCTGAGGTAGAAGGGTAGATGAGTTTATTTTAAGGCCACGTAGGACAGTGTTTTATATAACAGCCCCAGGCAAGAATTGATGTTTTGTTTTGTTCTGGAGGGAGAGCACTGTGATTGCTCCAATTTGCTGTTCACATTCGGTGTATGAAAGAAAGATGCAGCCTGTTCTGAGACAGGGTTGCACTGCAATCAGAGGGGCAGCTCTAACAGAAAACTTGGGGCTTGCACAAATCCACTACAGCAGGTTACTGCTGGAAGCATGAGTGCCATCCCAGTGCTCCCAACTCCAGATCAATTTCCCATGTGTGGTGGAGGTGCCTTCCCCACTAGATGGCAGAGGGAGCTTGTGTTTTGCATGCTGTTCCCCAGTTAACACCGCCTTGTGTTCCCTTCCTTTGTCCAGGTACCTCCAGCATCTGCTAAACAGCATGGAGTCAGCCTCAACACTGCCTCGACTCCTTTCCAGCAAGCGAGTGGCTATGGGCAGCACGGCTATGGAGCAGGTATGTTTACCAACACGCTTTTCACGTGAGTGTCTGCAGAGCCGCTTGCACACTGTAACACCTTGTCTTGTACACACCGGCAGGCTATGATGACTTAACGCAGGGAACGGCAGCTGGAGATTACAGCAAAGGAGGCTACAGTGGGTCATCTCAAGCACAAAACAAATCTGCTGGCACTGGACCTGGGAAAGGTAACAAACGAGACTGGAGGTTGATCTTGAGTGACATTTAGTAGGGCAAACTCCCAGTATTGCCAGTGCTGTGCAGTCAACACAGCAGCCAGCTCTAAAGAGGATCATGATCCAAGCTGTTTCTCCATCTCCCGTATACAAAATGCTTTTTTAATGGCCCAAACGTTCCTTCTAAACCTCATGGCTGAACTTTGCATAAGGATTTGTGTGGCTGATGTGCAGCTTTGTCCACAAATATACAGAAGAGAAACGGTGAGCTGTTTGCCAAAGTTTTCTGTGCTGAAGAATAGTGGTTCTGCAACAGTGCTGTTTTTGAAGTCTAAGCAGTTGGATGCTGCTGCTGAAATGGTCCTCTGCCAAATGATGATTTTGAGTTTCTTGGTAGGCATCTGAGATAGCTGCGTGTTAGGAGATAGCAGGGCAGTTAACACACTTTGTTGTTTCAGCTGCTGTACATCCTGTAACTCATCACATTGTTTTATGCCTGGAAATGTTTCCTTTGTGACTGTAAAGGCTGTACAGCTTATATGAAAGCTTTATTCTGCACATGCTGGTTAGACCTGAAAAATGTATACTGAACTGCTTAGCACTAACTAGTTCATCCCTGAGCTTAAGCAAATACCAAGCATTTGCTGTGCATTTGAAACACCAACTGGACTGTCTTCGGCGAAGAGCCAATCAAGCTCTCCTCTGTGGAGGAACAATCCAAAAAAGAGCGATGTCCTAGGAAGGGTACAACCTTAGAGCAGTACACATCCCCTGAGTCCACTCCTCTGATTCACTGGCCAAAGGAACCACAGGTTTTATTCTGATCCAAATGAAATTATTAGAGCCAGTCTTTATAAGACTGTGAATAAGTGGCTGATTTGAGAGTTGCCTCGCTGGTAAGTGCGTTTCTGAGCCTGTTGTGGCACCATCCAGTCCAGGTGGAAGCCAGTGTGAATCAGTGACACTCATTCTCTTGGGGCAGAGGAGCATTGCAGACCTTGCCCTTCTGCAGCATGTGAAAGGACAAGGGCTCAAATGTGTAGCAGATGCTGACTCTCATTGCTCAGCTCACTACTGGAAAACTCTTGAATGCTGCAGTAGAGCCAAATGCATCTCTAATCCTGGGGGGAAGCTGGATTTTCGTGAGCTTAAATGAGTGTGTTAGGTGCAGCCAGCTGCTGCCTGTTGAAGTGCATTTGAATCCAAATGATAACTGCTGAGTCCTGGACATGGGTGATTTATCCCAGTGGGCTGGTTTCCTGCTTTGCAGTGGGAGCCAGAGCCTTTTCTTCTGTTCCTGTGTGGGGTGCTGTGGGTCTGAGAGCACAGAGAACACCACTGGGCTGGCCAGCAGCAGCAGGGCCTGTGGTAGCTGACTTTCTCATTGTGGGTGCTGGTTTTTTCTTTGTTTTCCAGGTGTTTCTGTGACCTCAAGTAACACAGGTGTGCCTGATATCAGTGGCTCAGTCTATAACAAGACTCAGGTGAGTAAGGCTGGACCTTCCTCCCTTATGGCCTGAGGCCAGGCCGATGGCTGTCCCTGCAGAGGGCTAGTGGCTGGGGCTGTTCCCAGGCTAGCTGGTCACAGGGTCAGCAGGCCATGGCATTTCTGATGCTGGCCCTGTTTGCTGTTGGAGACGAGTCTCGCCCTCTGTTCCACTGCTTCTGCCATGTCACCTCCTGATGGCAGCTGCTGGTGTGGGCACAGCGCTCTACGCTGCTGCATGTTCCCCACGCGTGCTGTGTCCTGGGTACAAAAGTAGTGTGATGGCATCAGTATTTTTAGTCAAAATAGCCCTCAAAGCAGGTGAGTTGAGAGGCAGTTTGCTTTTCCCTGGAGACATCAGTCAGTAGTGTAACACGTGAGGGTCCCTGTCCTGCTGATTTCATGCAGCTGCTGCCATCCCATGTCCCACTGAGTAAAAAGAGATCTGGGAAAAAAGGAACACAGTAGTTGTGGAAACTAAAATAAAATAAAATGTTGGAGGCATTAGTGCAGAAATGTGAGTGAGAACAGGAGGTGAAACTGATCTGCTGAAGTGCTCACAGGTATTTGCTGTGACTTGGCTTTCCCACGGGGTTGGTGAAAGGTTGAGGTGATGCGTGTTTGGGCAACTGTTGTCCTTGTCTGGTCACTGTGGGGCTGTTCACACCAGTCTCTGATGCTGTCCCCCTCGCCTCCCATGCAGACGTTTGACAAGCAGGGATTCCATGCTGGCACACCGCCTCCTTTCAGCCTGCCCTCTGCTCTTGGATCGACTGGGCCACTGAACCCTGGTGCTGCCCCGGGTTATGCTCCAGCCCCATTTCTCCATATCCTGCCTGCGCATCAGCAGCCTCATTCCCAGATGCTGCATCATCATCTTCAACAAGATGGGCAGGTGAGTTGGCCCCTTCTGCCTCTACAGTGTGCCTGGGGACACGTTGCTCCCACCCACATCCCAACAGGGTCTTGGCAGGGGGTTTGCTTCCTTCTGGCTTTTGCTTTTCTCATTAGGAAAGGGCCTTGACAATGATTGCTGACTGACAGACTCAGTGCTGTTGACTAGCTTGGGGTGGGAACCTAATGAAGTTCAGCAAGGGGAAATGCAAAGCCCTGATCCTGGAGAGGAATAAGCCCATGCACCAGTATTTGCTGGGGGCCAAAGCAGCTTGGCAAAAAAGGCCTTGGGGGTCCTGGTGGACATGAAATTCACCATGAGCCAGCAATGTGTCCTTGCCACAAAGACAGCCAACAGCTTCCTGGGCTGCATTAAGGAGATCATTGCCAGCAGGTTGAGGGAGCTAATCCTTCTTCTGCTCAGCACTGGTGAGATCACATCTGGAGTGCTGTGTCCAGTTCTGGGCTCCCCAGTATGGACATGGACATACTGGAGAGTCTCCAATGAAGGACCACAAGGATGATTAGGGGACTGGATCGTCTGTCCTGTGAGGAAAGGGAGAGAGTTTGGACTCTTCAGCCTGGAGAAGAGAAGACTCAAGGGGGATCTTATCAATGTATGTAAATACCTGAAGAGAGGCTGTAAAGAGGAGGGAGCCAGGCTCTTTCCAGTGGTGCCCAGTGACAGAAGTAGAGGCAATGGGCACAAACTAGAACACAGGAGGTTCCCTGTGAACATCAGGAAACTCTTTTTTTTACTGTGAGGGTGACCAGGCACTGGAACAGGTTGCCTGGGGAAGTTGTAGAGTCTCCATCCTTGGAGATACTCAAAAGCTGTCTGGATATGGTCCTGGGCAACTGGCTCTAGGCAGCCCTGCTTGATCAGAGAGGTCCCTGCCAGGCTCGACCAGCCTGTGATTCTGTGAAGAGACCATCCTGTTGTGGGGTGTGGAGAGATGGGCTGTGAGGTGTGAAGCTGAGGCAGGCGCTGCTGTCCCCTGGCTCCAGCAGGAGAGCAGGACGTGAGCACTTGTACTGTAACTCTGGGGGGGAAATCAAGCATCCCCCTATGCAGGTTGCATGTTGGCTCTGATTTCTGACTTGGTTTCACCAGCCCATGCTTTTCCTTTCCTCACTATAAATGTTCCCTGAAAAAAGAGAGTGTTCTGCTTTTAAGAGTCCAGAAATAGGAAATGACATCTCTGTCTGAATGTGTGACATCCTTGGCTGGTGCACTGCCTCTGTTCACCCTGAGAGCTCCTTTGCTGTCCCCAGTCCTGCTCCTCTCCTTCCTTGTGCTTGAACATGTGTTGGGTGGGGGGCAGTGGGGTGGTGCGTCCCCACGCTCCTGCTTGGTGTCTCTGTGGCTGTTCATCCTAGATTGCAAGACGTGGAGATGTTGCAGAGCAGAAATGGATCCGTTCAGGGGGGAGCATCGCTGTGTTGGTGGGTGTCAGGGCTGTCCCCGGGGGTGGCAGCTCTTCTGGTGACGTTCAGATGAGCTCATCTTCCTGGGAGCACTGATGCCTGTGTCTCCTTCCTTTCTGATTTTTAGGGTGGATCTGGCCAACGCAACCAACCTAGCACCATGCAGCAAAAATCTCAGGCTACCAAAACCGCCTATGGCACTTCTCCATACTGGACAAACTAAATCCAAAACCAGGGAGGGGGGAGAGAATGAAAGGAGAGGAGAAGAAAAAAAAAAAGGCAAAAAAAAAAAGAAGCAAAAAACAAGCAAACAAAAGAAAAGAGAAAAAGAAAAAAAGCTGAAGCCCATTCCTGGAATTATTAGGAGAAGAAGAAACTACTCAGCCAAATGTTTGTGCGGGGAGAACTGCAGCCAGCCATCCTCTGTGTGACTCGCCCGCTTCCTCTTTGAGTTGCTGTTGTATGTAATATATTTATGTATGTATTTGTAAATGTAATAGAGCCTAAATGTGGTTTTCTGCATCTTGCAGCCTGTTTTATTTTCTTTGTAGGAAAACTAATTATTCATTTCCCATCTGCACCAGGGCATCCTTCCTTGTTTTTTAAGCTCTATGGGCTTTATAACTCTCACAGACAAACTGCGCCGTTTTTTTTTGGAGCTGGAGCCCAATTTGTTTAATGCAGTTCTAAATTCAGGCAAATAAGGTGGCCTGCCCCCACTCCCCCAGAGAAAAAGAATCAAGAATGTGTCCTGTTGTTTTGATTTCTGCCCCCAGCCCCCACTATAGCTGTTATTCTAAGGGGGGGGAGAGAAAAAAATGTTTTGTGGGCCTTCCCCTTTCTTTTTTCTCCTCCTTCCCTCCCTCTTGCTGTGGAAGATGAACTGTCATGGGCAGTTTGGTCACTGTGGCCCTGAGCTGCAGCCTCACCTTTTTATTTTTCAATTTTTAAGTAATAAAAAAAAGACAGGGTTTTCTTTTTTCTTCGTGGGGTTTTTAGGGGGGTTAGGGGTTTTTTGGTTTTATTTTGTTTGTTTGGTTGGTTGGTTTTTCTTCCTAGCAAGAGACTTTGGATGGCTCAGTGTGTCCTGGAACCTCCTTTGCATCATTAGAGGCAAAAACTATGTAGCGGTTTCTTAAATAAAAGTATAAGCTGTGTCTTGTACCTCTTTTTTGCCCTGAGCCACCCTGCCCAGGAAAGCCAGAGTGACTGAATGGAAACTCTACCTGTCCCTCCCCACTTTTTCTAAAACAAAGACCCTGGAGGCAACTCTTGGTCTGTCTTGTCCTCCACCAGTGCGGTGAATGTTTCAGAAGTTTAATTTCTATTTAGCCCTTCCTCCACCTAATAAAGATCTGAGCATATCACTGGTGTTTGTTTGCATTTTCAAAGGCTCCAGGACCAGTTTTGATTTTACAGCCTGTCCCTTTCCACCTGGTCCTGCAACAAAAGCTGAGCTGGGAGGTGGGTCTGCTATAAGAAAGGTGAGTGCACCTCAGTGCTGAGAGCTTACAGACACCTGCAGTGGGGAATGGGATCCTGGGCAGCACCCTGACTTCTGCCGTAAGGATCATGTCTCAGCCTTTGGTGTCCTCTGGCATTGTGCTGTGAGTCCCTGCAGAGCAGCTGTGATCGGTAAGGACGGAGCACTGCCGCACTGCCCTCCCTTGCTTTGCCTCAACCTGAAGGAAGGGTAGTGGTGAGGGTTCCTGAGGGATGGCTCCTGCCCCAGGCTCATCCTCCTGAGTATCCAGACCCCATGCAGCAGAGGAGGTGAGTAAATGTGAAGCCATAGGTGCCCATATGTGCAGCAGAGAAGGGGCTTTTATCGCACTTCCCAATTCTGTTTCAATACCCACAAGAAGGAAAAAAAAAAAAAAAAATCTGTTTCTACCATGAGAATCATGTCTCTTTCTTAAAAGTCACACTTTCACCAGCTCTCGGGTCCTGTGACACACAGCGGGCTTGGAAGAAGTCAGTGTGGCATTCAGCGCTCCCCCGAGCTGAGCACCACATCATGAACTGCACTGGCCTTCCTTAGCCCTGGCTCAGGTTTTGATACTGGTCAACCTTCAGCAGCTGCTGCAAGTTCTTTGCAGTTGCTGTCCCACTGCCACAGCTTTGGGGCCTGAATGTCAAGGAGGGCAAAAATATTTCTGGGGACTCAGTGCCTGCCTGTACAGGGTCTGCACCAGCCTCTGAGCCTGCAGGGCTTACAGCAATGGCACCTCATTTACCTGTGGTCAGAGCTGCTGCCTCCCAGGAGTTAATGCTTTGAAAAAACAAACTTCCCCCAAAGACGTCTTCACAGGCAGGTTCTGTTTATAGACATCCACAACTGCTTCCTGCCCCCCCCCACCCCCCCAGGGTTGAGTCCTTGCTTGTCTGTCAGTGTCCAGTTGGAAGTGGGAAAAGGCAACACAAGAGTTGGTGCCAGCACACAGCAACACCCAAGGCTTGGGTTTGTGGCAGAGCAGCTGCAAGGGATACTCAGCCAGTGCTTCCCGGCTGCACAACTTCCATCCTTAGCAGTGGCTGTGGGCGTGGAAGGGCAGCACTTACAAGCCTGGTAGCAATAGGCTGTGTTGCCCTCCAGCACTCTGCTCTCCCCCAGCACAAGCAGTGAAGGCAACTCCAGCACCTTCCCAACTGCTCTGGGGTCCTGCAGGCAATACCATGCAGTCAGCCACATGCAGCCTCCCCTCCAAGCAAGACTAAACAGGATATTTTTCCTGTTTCCTTAGACTGTCAGTTGCAGCAGAGCTCTTCTGCAGCAATTTCCTCTCTAATCTGCTGTTCCCCAGGCTCATGGTAGAGCCAAGGGTGCGCACCTGCACTTGCCCATGGGCTGGGGGGGGCAGGGAACTAACAAAACCACTCTGGACAAGTGGCAGTTGGATTTACCCAGTGCAGGCTGTGCTGGAGCCTTTGTCACACCACTTTCTGCTGGATGAGGATGCTACTGGTAGCACTGGTCAGACACCTGCTGGAGGAGCTGTACAGGAGATACCAGTAAGCCTGATCGAAGTCAGAAGGCCCAGGCAGCACCATCCTGCTCACTCCCCTCCCCCCCATATGGAGCCTGCTCTGGGAATAAAGCTTTGAAATACCATCACCTTCCTTCTACATGGCTGGGAAGCAGAAGCACTCAGGCCATGACAAGAGTTGACTCAACAATTGCTGTGCTGAAAACAATACCAAGTGTAGCAAGTGCAACTCCTATATGTTTGTCCTGCTAATTTTAGCTTGACTAGAGGGGAGGCACTGCCAAAAAACAACTTTCACTCCTGAGCCTGCAGGGAATGGGCCAGGCAAGGCTAGCACCCTGAAGGGTTGGCAGTAATAACCCAAAGCCCTCAGCCAGCCTTCTGTATGAGGTCAAAGGCCCAGGCTCAGCAAGCAAGCTCCACTGCTGCCTTGTCTGACCATTTCAGGAGTGCTGTGCTCCTGCCCAGCCCGGGAACCAGCTGCCAGCAGCACCCCTGCCCTATGGCAGCAGCAGCTTTGCACCACATGCTGCAGCCTGGCTGCAGTTGCACAAGACCTTGCACTATCTTGCCCTTAGTCTCCCCCTTCCTGATTTAGGAAGGGTAAATGTAATAGTAAAAGCCACAGCCTTTTGCCAAAGTACTTCTCCAAGTTCATTCTTTAGTCTAGAGTTCAGGCAGGCAGCTGTCAAACAGCAGCTTTATTTTTCCATAACCTTACAGATATTTATGTATAGGCAGTGATAGTGCAGCAGCACTGAATTTGTGAATACCTATTACTCAAAACATTAACCCATGCAAATAAACGAGCTCAATTAACAGGGAAGTAACAGTAGAGGAATATTTTCATTTCACATTTTTATTAGTAGACAGATGTGCAGAAAAGACAAAATATAACTACTGAAAGGGAAGACAACACAAAAATGCATCAGTTAATTCTTTCTGGTAAATTATACTGAAGAAAAAAAGGAAAACATCTGGAAGTTCAGCTAAGAAAACTACTAAGAAATCTAGTGTACCCTGCTGGTTTCAGAATGGTTGAAAACTGCATTTGAAGGGGCTTGTAGTTGCAAATGTAAACGCTAATATTGACTGAGACAGGAGAAAAGGATTAAGAAAAAACAGAATACATAGATCAGGTAAACATTTTTCTGCAATCTCTTAAATAGTTTCAAAAAACCCAAAACAAACCTCATACTTCAGTTTGTATCTCAAAAAAAGGAAACCAGCAAGTCAACAAGCAATGACACTGCACAGGACAGTGGGGAAGAGAGATTAGTCTGGTTAATGTAGGAGCTGTCAAAATAGGTTGCTTTTTTGTCTTTAAAAAAGGGTAACAGAAGAATCATGATAATGCATCTTACAACACCAAGCTTGAAAATACAAGTCACTGGAGAGTATACAGTGAAGACGGTCAAAAGTACAAGGGGAATCCTGAAAGATGCAGTATCCTCATTTCAAACCAAGTCATCCACACAGCAAGCGTTGCCATACTCCAGTCCTTCACCCTCCAATAGCCCCCCCCCAAAAGTCGGGGGTTGGTGTCCCCATCCCATTTGCCAACACCAGTGCTGCCCCTCACAGGGCTAGAGTGAAGCTGGGGTTGCCCCACACCATCACTAGATGCAAGGGAGCCCCACCACTGGCTCCAAAAAGCACCAGGGGCTCAGTGAGTCCCTGCTGGAAGGATAAGCAGAAGCAGTCCATGTGGGACAGCGTGGGAGGTAACATGCAAGCATGAGGGCTGACCATCACAGGGACCGCTGGGGACAAGGTATCGCCACTTGGGCTGCCTTTGCTCTGCAGGGAGAAGCACCACCCGCACAGCCTGGGCCAGAGGAGCAGGGACTGTCCTTGCTGCTGCAAATGCCAACCAGCAACATTTTGAAAACATTTTGCTCATTCCAAATGGAGCCCCACCAGCCTTCCTCCCCTCCCCAAGAGCTGTCTTCCCCTCCTCTCCCTCCAGGCTGTACACTTTAAGCTTGCTCCCTCTCATCCTGCTCCTTGCCTCTGGACACAGATCCCAAGCTGATGACAGAACAAAGTTTACCCCACCAAAGCACCTCCAAGGGACCACAGCTGATGACGTACCATTGAAAACCCTGAGATGCACAAAGGGGAGGCATAAGCAAATGCCCAAGCCTGCAGCTCTTATCAGGGTATCTGCCTCTGTACCTATGGGAATGGAGGGTCTCACCCAAGCTGGGCCAGGGCCTCACATCTGCTCCTGGAGGTGCCAGGGCTCAGCACAGGAAGGCAGGGTGGCTGCTGATCAAGGGATCATGCAAAAGGTGAATTCAGGCCACTGCACCACAGCTGAACAAGAGCACACTGCAATGAGGTGAGGGTGCTGAGGGACCAAAGAGGGTGCTGCAGAGACAAACATGCAGGATCCCCCCCTGCCCACAAGGGAGGGCCCTAAGCTCTGCCAAGAGCTCCCAAAAACATGCAGGAGGCTGAGCTCAGCACACCAGCTGAAGTGTGATGCTAAATAGCCTGTCAAACCCTGCCCCAGACTGCCTCTTCCAGCCTGAAAGCACTGTGTACCCCTCTCCTTTGGGGCTGCACCCACTCACCCATGCCCCAGCCAGCCAGGCAGGGAGCCCAGCACACATGCATCTCCTCTGCCCCAGCCACCGCTGCGGGCACAGGGACAGCCTGGCCACCACAGGCAGGCACCAAAGGGAGCAATGACTTCTGCCGACCCCGCAGAGCTGCATTTACCAATGTACGACCTACATAAGCAACAGAAACAAGCCTCAGGCCAGCACTGGACATGGGCTACCAGAAGCAAAGGCTGCTAGTGAGCACTGGGGCAGGAGGCTTATCAGTGTTTCCCACTGCCAAAAACAAGTTCAGGATGAATGCTGGCCTGCTGGGCAGTGGGATGCATGTCTGTTCTCCTCCCTCCAGAGAGGGGCACCTGGCAGCAGATCTCAGCAGCATGGCTACACTGAACTTTTTCAACCCCAACCTAGTCTGAAAATAAAAAATAAATAGCAACCCAGGGCTCAGTTGTACAGATGTGAAGTGTAAGTGTTTATTTTAGGGTTTATATCACAAGCCTTTTTCAGAGACAAAGCTGATTGTGCCCTCTGGGGCTCCAGGGGCCAGCTATTTCCTAACTTGAGCAGGCTGAAAAGGAATACTGTACCTTTCAGTAACATCCCATCAAGCTCAACACACAGTAGCTTTACACTCTCCACCCCACACCTTATAAAGGAAAAGCCACCACCACAAGGCTAAACGAATGTACACACGCTATTATTGTAAATGGAGCAGCTAAACCTTGGCAATTTGCTTTGTGTGGATTTTTTTTTCTTTCCAGTAAATGCAGCACTTGAGCTCCTGAAAACCCAGCTTCCAATGGGTTTGTTCCAGCTTTAAATACATTAAACATCTCAATGCAAGACTGTATTTAATTCAAGAATCTAAACGCGAGCAAACCTGTTTCGCTGTGAGCGTTTTGTAGAGAAGTGAAAAGGGGAGTTTCTTTTTTAAAAAGAAATCATAATACAGTGATGAAAGGGTTAAGAATGCAAGAATTCAGACATTCTGTGGAGGGTCTCTAAGAGGTCCATAAAAAAGGAGCAAACAGATCCATACAACAGGAGACAGCAGGAGACAAAGTTTTTTTTTTTGATCCCCCCCCCACACTTTTTTGCTGGACTGCTGCTAGGTTACCGCTGCTCCCTTCTGGCCTGAGTCGGCAGGGCAGTACAGGGGCATAAAGGGAGCAGGTCACGACTCCTCGTTGCCAGAGTCATCATCATCGTAACAGTCGGCATCCTCCTCCTCCTCATCTTCATCATCAATGTCGTCATCATACAAGTCGTCATAAAGCAAATCTGAACTGTTGTCATTGGAAGGCACTTTAGTTTTGATGCAATACTCTGCCAGCGTAGTGGGGACCTTCACGCCATCCTTCTCTGCCTCAGCTTTGGTAGCCAAAACCTGTTTCCTGCGGGGAGGAGAACACAGCAACATGAGCAGGGCCATGTGCTGGCAGCAGCATGGCTCCACTCCCCACCAGCCCCAGCCCAGCCCTCCTGGCAGCTCAGGGTTGGGACAGGGTTTGATGTTTGGCTGAAGCACCATGAGCAGCACCAGAAATAGATTAAGTTCCCACAGCCCCAGGCTTGGGAGCACTCCAAGGGGTTTTGCAGCACACATGCTCCCAGCAACATAGGAAATCAGTTATTCTACAGAACTCTGTGTTAGAGACCTGCCAGAGCTCAGAGCAAATTTGATTACATTTGCTACAGAAGGGATAGTCAGGGATGTCCCAAGATGACTTAGTGACTCCACTACTGATGACTCTACCCCAGTGTCCTCAAAACTGCAACTCCCATAAGCATTCAGCACCTCTGAGCTCCCACTGGAAGACAAGCGCAGTCGGAGCACGTGGCTGCACCCCAAAATGCAGCCATAACCCCAACACTGCCTGGGGCTGGCGGGAGACAAGTGTTTCCCACCACCCCAGGACAGGCTCTGTGAACTGCTGCTGGCCCATGCCACCTCCCAGCAGGGAGAGAAGCAGATGGCAGCCTGTCCCTTCACGCCCACCCACCTGCCCATCAGTCTGCCACACTCTGTTTGTGGAGTATGTCCAGCTCCACTGAAGCCAAGGGCGCTGGAGGGGACTAAGACACCCTCCCAGTGAGACTCTTCGCACAGACTGACTGCCCTGCATAGCTCCAACCAGGGGTACATCCTGCACGCCCAGCTAGCAGAGTCAATGCAGACATGGTCTTGCCCCAGGCAAGCACAAGTGGTCCCTGCTGTGGTACAGGCTGCCCATCCACTGCTCTACAGCAACCCTGGCTCAAGTTTACATCATGTCCCTATAGCACCTGGTGAACCATGAACTTCTCAAAGGACAGTCAAGATGGAACAGTGCTTCCAGCTAATCAAACTCAGGTTTGAAAATGATTGCCAAATCCTGTTGATATTCCTTCAAACTGGAGGGACAAGATTATGATTCATGAGTGTATTAAGCACAGAATTAGTAGGATGCAGTCACTGTGAATTACACCGCAAGCAACACAGGCAGCACTCAAAAGCAAGTGAGGACTTCGACTGGGATTTACTACAGCCAATAGATTTTGCAGAGCATCATGCCAGATTAGTCTGAAAAAAGAACAATTCAACGACAGATCAGCCCAGTCCTCCTGCTCCACAAGTTTGCACTGCTTCTGCGTGCTGAAAAACCTAAAGGGACCAGAAGTGTGGACTTGAAATAAGACAGTAAGATTCATTTCCAAAGCAGCAGCCACAGTGAGAAGCTAGTTTCAGCAAATTCTGCAAACAGCCTGTTTTACAGGATTCAGAGCAGGAGGCTGGTAGCACAGCACCACACATGGCAAAGCTTACCTTATGATTTCAGCATACTCCTTGTCTTTTCCTTTACTGTCCCTCCATTTCCTGAACATGACTGATGCATCCACATTGGCAGGAGAGAACGTGTTGGGCTCATTAAGCAGAGAGATTACACTCAGTAAGATAGTCCTGAAAAAGGTAACAACAGTAGAGAGTCAGAGCTAACGCATTCATGGATTCTTGATGGCGACAACTTCTCTAGGTGATGCATCAGAAACTTGTTTAAAGTCAAAACTTAAGGATAACTAAGGATAATATCTGAAGTGAGAGCAGGTGTTTATGAACTTCAGAAGGTAGCACAATACAAACCTCAAGGATCTCATCTGACTACAGATCATGTCCGTGTATGTGCATAAGTGTGACGGGGGAGCAGGCAAAGCTAGGATCAGACCAGAATTCAGCTTGTCCACACCACCTGTGGACAGTGCAGGACTGGAAGAGTGCTTGATGAGCCTGTTCCTGCTGGCATTTGGCCTCCCAGCAGAATGCCAGGCTCTTTTCTTGCCCTGTGTAGGGAGAAGGACCAAACCACCCAAGGCCATCAGATAAGGCTGCACTGCTTTCCCTGCCCCACCCAGTGTTGGAGGTTGGAGCAGGTCTTGCCTCTCCTCAGCTCCTGCATCACAAAGACTGCTGTAGCAGCACTCAAGCACAGCAAGGGGAAGACAATAATGCAGGTATTTTTCGATACCCAGGCAGGTTGCCAAGGGCCCAGCAGGATTCAGCTGCTGGAACTCAAAGCCAGCATGAGCCAGTCACACAACCCCCAGCAGACAGACAGCCTCCCTGGATTTCTAGCAGCAGCACAGAGCTAGCTAGCTGCCTTGCTCTGCTGGCATTTACCAGTGGCAAACACCACCTCCCTTGCCCAGACTCTGCACTTCAGAGATTCAACACTTTGCTCCTCACACAGTGCCACAACAAGCACAGAACTCAACAACGAGTCACATCAGGCAGCTATTGCACCCAACCATCTGGCTGTAGCTACCACTGAAATAGCTTCACATGTCTGAGGTGGTCCTGCTGGCAACAGCTTTTGATTTAAATGGAAGGGAAGAACAAGGGACAAGGAATAAGTGTTGAAATACAGCACTATGTAGCAACTGCTTTGCAGAACTTGATTAAAGGAGAGTACAGCTCCAGCTGTACTTACATTGATTTAGGGGCACATTCAGAGCAGTACATGCTGAGCACATCTACCAGATCATATATCTGGGATACAATTCCAGGAAATGCTTGGTTATTTGGATGCTAAGCTTCATGAAAGGTTTTGAAACTAAACACTCATGTCTGGTCAGGCTGTCCAGCACAGCTATCAGGAGAGTCTTACACAATTTATTTTCCAAATTATATAATTCAGTAGGAAAGGAAGAACAGCAGCTCTGGAAAAAAATGTCTCGTCAGACCAGAATGATGGGCAAAAGAGAGACCATCTTCTACTTCATCTCAAGAATTCATTCAAAAGCCTTTAACTCCCAGCAAACAGGCTCTAAAGCTAGCATGTCAGCTCCAGCATCATCGCAGCAGCTTTACTGTAGTCTAAAGTCTAGAGAAGGTTGAGGACAGCAATTCATGTCTGGATTCAGCATCTGCTCTACCACATTTCCATCAACAAAGTGATGAGAAGCTTATTTCCACTTCAGTGCCCCAGACTCCAAAGTCACTGCAAAGCTACTTAAATACACTAAGGCCACTGTCTAATAGAGGTGAGGCTCTCTGCACTCTTCATTCCCAACCAATGCATTACATCAGCGCCATCACTGCTGATACCCTAAGAGCTGGACAGTCTGCTCTGACTCAAGCCCTGCTACTGTGAGTAGACAAGGTGAACAAGGTAGAGCAACAGGAAGGGATCTGACAGGACCAAAGCCACAAAAAGGTTTAACCATGGGGGACCGAAAACATCCTCAGCATCAGATATTAACTGCTCTGGACTGGATACAGACTGACCACCTGCAACGTTATCAGGGATTTGTTTCTCTCTTGGGTAAAGCTGTTCTCACATGTTGTTTCATGCAAGTTGATTGCATGAAGAGTGGGGATTTGAAGCCTGCCTTTTGATTTCTTACATCTGTACCCCATTCTGGGGAACAATGAGCCATTTTAAGTGTTTACAGCATTGTTGTCTGCAGAGCAAGTCCCTTTACATCCCTTTACCAGCAGGGGAGAGCAGCCAGCAGAGGGTCAAGGAAACAGACCTGTTAAGTGCCTTTATCTCTCCATGTATCAACATAAGGCTCAGACACAGATGAATTTTATCCAAAAGACATTATGTAGGCTAGCTAGGGCTCTCAACCAGCACATCCTGTTATATACCTTGCTGAAAAGGGTATTTTTTTTGTTGTTCCAGCTGCTACCTACATTGTAGCCTCTCAGAGTCACCTTTAGAGGTAGCACATTTTTGCTTTCCGGTATAAAGTAAAAAGTTTTGGCTTAGGCTGTACTGACAGGCATGTTAGTGCATTGAGCTGGTTGCAGAAACTGTCCAGATCTTAGGCAGCCAAAAGAACTAAAATGGGCATCCTCGGGAAACAAAGCAATAGTGAGACAAGGCATCACCCATCTTCACAAAATACAGATGTACCACAATCTTGAATACTGTGCTCAGTTCAGGCCTGTACACCTCCAAGGACAGAGGGGAGACAGGGAACATACGGAGACTGGCAACTAAAATGATCAAAGAGCCTCAACTGCAAACCGTGCCACTGCTTCCTTAGCTTTATGGGGCTCGGGACACAAGAAAAGCAGTATTCTCTGCAACACAGATCACAGCTGCACTCCTTCACATCTTGCTGGATGTTTGCCATATTTTTAGACCTACCTCATCTAGCCCTGAGTGATGGGAAAATCCATACTGATTGTGTTTAAAAAAATAATAAGCATGCTTGAGTCCATTAGAGGTGGAAGCACAAGTGCTCTTGAAGTTGAAAAATGACATCCCCCCCTTCAGACACTTCAACAGTCATCTGTAGTAAATACGCAATACTTAAATTCAAAATACAAAATTCAGCAGCTGAAGAGAAGCCCTAAGTTACACATTCAGCTCATTACCAGCACACTCCCCTCCCACACCTTCAGCCCTGCTGCCTCCTGTCTGACATTCTGGAGCCTTGCAAAGCCAGATGAGACCCCAGCAAGACACATTTCTATCAGCACTTAGCCCAACAGGTGATGCTGGTAGCAGGCTAGGAGTTAAGGACAAGTTTTATTTCTGTTTGCTGATACAGCTGAGGAATGTTTTCTCCCCAAATGTCACCCTTAAGCACAACATGTTCCAAGACTAGGCACTAAAAAGGCAGAGCAGAAATCAGAGAACTACCACCATGAGAAGTTTCATGTCAATCTGTAGGGTTGTATATAATGAAATACTCAAAATGTGTATGCAATGTAAGTAATTAATGCCCAAAGCTGGTTCCTAACTATGAGTTGAGGCTTGTCACCTAGTCACCTCTTTATTGGCAATGTCTTGTAATAAGCATGATGTTCAGATGGTATTTCAAGAAAACAAGACAGCTTAGCCTTGAATGCCTTCAGTACTTAGTGATCCTTCAGTTTTTTGGCAAGAAGAAAACTACCTGGCTACCTGCTCAAGGTACCACGCTGCAAGACAGGAGACAAATACTGGAAGGCAAACAGCAGGCAGGATTATGCACAATTTCACTCCTACTGGGCCTCAATATTCAAAAGTGTTCTTTTGCAGTGGTATCTTGGAGTAGTTTGAAAAACCTCAGTATAGGATAACATCAACTGGGAAAGGCTAGAACATTTGAGATAATTTGCTTCAAGAGCATGAAACGCTGTGAACAGAACAGAAGGCTCCACATGGTAAGCACAGTATCGGGACACACAGCATTCCAGTGTCTTCAGACAGCTTGGTAAGCCTGGTTCCTGTTTGATTCAAGCCCTAAAAGCCCCCAAAGTCTTAAATTCCCTTCCAAATATCTCCCAACACAGGCCTTAGTCTTGGAGAGAGAAGACAGACCTTTGAGGTCACCACTGTACATCAAATTCAGTTACCTGACATTTTGGGTAGGGTTCCACCTCTCAGATGGCAGCTCTCCACTTTGTGGGTCATCTACAGGTGGGTGAAGAATTGAAATACATACATCTCCATTCTGCAAGACAAACAAAAGTTGAGAATAGCCTGCCTTGAGGCAGAGGTCTGATGACAACTCCAATGCTCTGTCAATGTTCTGAGCAGTTTAAACTTTGTTGATGTGGCAAAATCACACAAGAACTGGAAACGGTTCTCAATTCTTCCTGGGTCTACTTTATTCATACGCTCAGAAGTTTCCCTTGCTAAACAGCGTTAGTCTGTAAATTGGTACAAAACAATCTCAAGTCAAGAGGTTTAAAGAATGTAGCAAAGCAAGCAAAAATAAAGTCATAGAAAAGTAAATTGGTCTCCACATAGCAAGTACTGTCACAGTGACAGAAGTAAGCTTTAGTCACAGGAGACCCAAAGTAGGGTTAAAAATTTTTTTTGGTCCCAGTGGTAGCTGAGTTAGCTACAGGAATTTTTGAATTTAAGGGTTTAGCACTCTACTAGCTCAGGTATCAAAATCATGCTTCTCCTGGGACACAAGGAGGTTGAACAGATGGTGTGGGGCAGGCTTAGACTACTCCCCTAGGACACAGCTGTTTGAAATATCAGGTGAAAAAAGCAGGAGATGCTCTCTGAAGGTTTCACTGAAAATCCCTTCCAGCATGCAAGTGGAAGAATATTTTAGCAGCATATGGAAACCATACAACCACATAATACTCATTCTGTGTTTTACTCACCAATATTACACCCTGAATATAGATTTAAAGCTCCATAATGCCTACCATTTATAAACACCTCAAGAAGCCTGTAAAGCCAATTCCCCATCAGCAACAGCACTCTGACATGATTACTTTGTAGGAGTGCTGTAGCAGTATTCACTATGGCTGATATTCTCCACTGAAGTTGACTCCAGGGACTCGTGGGGTCCCAAGGCCTTACTGCATGATGGGGTCAAGGTACAGATGGGGCCTGAGACCAGCCAGCAAACATTGGCCTCTCCAGGCCCTGCTGGCTTGGTGCCTCTTGCAGCTGGCTCCTGGGAGTTCCTAGAGCTCCTACAAGCTCCTAGAAGCAGCCCTGCATCTTCAGGTGGCACAGCTTCAGCTGACAGGCAGTACTCATGCTGTCCCTTGTCACCCTGACCCAAGGCACAGGTTGATGACAGGAACAAGAGAAGCTGCAGATCAGTTCTCTTTGAGACTGCAGGCTGGCAGCTCCCCACACACGTGGTCTCAACTACATTCTGAGGACCCTCCAACACTGCTTGACACACAGGAGTCAGCAGAAAGCAGTGCTGCTCACAGCAATAGCATCCATGCCTTTCAGCCCCAGCCAGTGATCACAGCTACAGATAGCAACAGCTCACCTGAAGGGTCTCCCGAACATTTCAACTCACCCTGATTAACAGTGACATTTGCTTTATAGCCAAATGAGATCTTGCTTCAACATTGGAAGCTTGTGAACAGTATCCAGATTTCAGTGGCTCACTAACGCTGCCAGGTATGCTCATCTAGCAAGCCCTCGTCATTTTGAAGCAGTTTTTTGTCAAGAACATAACTACGCACAGCAATGTAGCACCTGGAGCTGCTGAATACCCAAGTATGCACTTATGTTGCTGGAAAAATTTGCCATAACAAGGAAGTTTCCTTTTTAGGACTCCAACAGGGTTATGCAATCTAGAAATATTTTTTAATATCCTTTTAAGGTGAAGTTAACCTTACTAATGTTAGATTATGTTCACAGCCTATTTAGGTTTTATTCATAATTTCCATGAGTTTACCCATTTAACCATGTCCTGGGAGAATGCAGTGCTGGTGGCCAGGAGAAAACATTGCAGCACTTGGGGAAAGTTCCTTGACCGATCAGGTCAGCAGCACATGGACAAGCAGGTATTTGGCAATATGAAAACAAGAGGGAAGCAAGGATGTGAGAAGTTTCCCTCTTGCAACAATCAATGTTACATGTTCGGGAATTCAAGCAGGGCAGCACTGCATTAGAGTCTGGAAGGGTAAAGGTGTCATGGGGCCTTATGAAATCAGCATGAGGTTTTAGGGAACA